CTACGAGCATTGCAAATGTTTAATGATAGTAACGAATGTGATATTGACGAATGCTCGAAGATGGTCAGCAGATCATGATAATATTTAATAAATTATTTATGTGAATGATGTTGGAATTCAGTAGATCAGAGCGAAACTTTCTTATACGTTATTACTGATGGTGGGGTGAAAGCAGCCGTACAAATATCATGTGTACACAACATGAATCCTAGCGAGTACTTCAGTCCATGAACAACGTTGGGGGATTGAGGCGTGTGATGTTATCTAAGAGATTAATATACTTGATATTATAAAGTATACTACATGTGTCTTTATTACTATTAATATTATTATTTAAAAAAAAAAAAATTGGGATCGTCTTGGACGTCTTCATGGGCGCCATCTTGTATCGTTGTTGTAAACAATTGCTTTAAATTAATAAACGCAGTTGAGCTACAAAGTTACCATATTTACTTATGTGTCGTTATTTACCGCTTTTATGTCACTCATTAGATTTTCTAATCCAGTTCTAATGTTGAGATACCCCCAACCATATCGCATCCTCGCTCAGCTTCCTTCTTCTTCTACCGCCCCTCAACTATCTTCTCTGCTGTCTTTTCTCAGCCTCCTACCCCTCTATACCTCAGCAAACTATATTATTCAGTTTTCTTCAGTCTGAACAGTACGCATAAAACGGTGCTCTGCATGCACAATATCTCCCGAGAAGAAAAATATTTTGTAAACATTATGCATTTAAAATGAAGAGGAGTTATCGTAGCATCGGTTTCTACGATAAAATTCCATCATTAGACCTCAATTAGGAAATAGGAAGAAGACCTTGCATGTAAGGTGCCCGCAGCATATACCAGTTAGTGCACAATCTTGCTACGTTAGTGTTATGGCGCATGCTCAATATCTCACCAGAGGAGTTATACTTTTTGATGAATATGCATTTAATACGGCTAGGGGGTATCTCAGCATAAATTTATGTAATAAATTGTTATCAGTAGACCTGTGTTCATAATTAGGAGAGCGCCTTAGGCTATAGGGTGCAAAACATCTACTTCATCCCCTCCCGTCCTTTCTGTTGCCTCCCTTGTCTCTCGCTCAGCCTCCGTCTTCTTCTACCGTCCATCAACTATCTTCTTTGCTGTCTTTCCTGATCAGGCTCCCACCCCTCGCTCTCAGCAAGCTATATTATTCAGTTTTCGTCAGTTTGTACTGTACGCCCAAGCCGTTCCTCGCGCATGCGTAATATCTCCAGAGAAGAATAATATTTTGCAAACAGTATGCATTTAAAATGAAGAGGAGTTATCATAGCATAGATTTATATGGTACGATTCCATCAGTAGACCTCACTTGCGAAATAGGAAGAAGACCTTGTATGTAAGATGCCCGCTGCATATACCAGTCACTACATAATCTGACTATACGTTAGTTTGTTAGCGCATGCGCAATCTCTCACCAGAAGAGGTATATTTTATGACGAATATGCATTTAATATGGTTATGGGCTATCACAGCATAGATTTATGCAATAAATAGTTATCAGTAAACTTGTGTTTATAATTAGGAGAGCGCCCTAGACTGTAGGGTGCAAAACGCCTACTTCATCCCCTCCCATCGTTTCTTTTGCCTCCCTTGTCTCTCGCCCAGCCTCCGTCTTCTTCTACCGGCCATCTGCTATCTTTCCCGCCGTATTTCCTCAGGCTCCCAACCCTCGCTCTCAGCAAGCTATATTATGCAGATTTTTCAGTCTGTACTGTACGCCAAAGATGTTTCTCGCACATGCGTAATATCTCCAAAGAGGAATAATATTTTGCAAAAAATATGCATTTAAAATGAGGAGGAGGTATTCTAGCATAGATTTATATGATAAGATTCCATCAGTAGACCTCAATTCGGAAATAGGATGAAGACCTTGCATGTAAGGTGACCGCTGCTTATACCAGTCAGTACATAATAATAATAAAAGCCCTTCCATTACTAATAAATTACTAGATAGCTATTGCTGTCAAGAGCGCTTCCCCGTAGTGGTTGCATGTGATATGCCATCGTCGATGTCTATAATTACTGCATCAGAACCGAGCAATAAAAATTACTAATTTACAAAGAGAAGCATAACAAACGTTATGGGTATATATACGCACTAGTGTGGAGATTTCGGGGGTGTGTAACTCACAGGAGCAGTAGACTAGGCCAGGATGGACAGATTGAACTCGCAGTATAGATAGAATAACCATATATTGACTAAAGAGAGGATAAGATATAGCCAGCACATAGAAAGCGCGCACGTCCATGGGCGCTGCCATCTTGGATCATGCTATCACTGCTACTGCTATGGTCGGGGAAAACAAGGAGTGTTTACGCGAAAAGCGATAACGCGATAAATAGAATATATAATAATCAACGCGGTTATGTACTATTAGTCAGTATAATATATGAGGAGATTTGAATAGAATGAATAGTCTGAGTTGTCTGATAGAGGAATATTTACTTAGAAACGAGTTGCATAAGATGTTGCAATCATCGTACCAGACACGGGTTGCGTCATCAGGTGAAGGCGATTGCACCAGCGAACGAAATCGGCGTGTGTTTTGACAACGCGTGCAAAACAACGGCACGTAGGGGGGACGGTGCCAGCTAGGTATAATATAAGGTGCACCGAACCGATCAGCGTTGGCGTTATTTTTCAGGTTAGGTTTAGGAAGAAGAAGAAGAAGAAGAGGACGAAGAGAAAGAGGGGAAAGCCGTTTAGGTCTCAAGGAGAGAGATAACGGAGGGGGTAGAAGGCCGGAGAACAACGGGAGAGGGAAATAAAACGGAGAAGGAGAAGAACGGGGTTTCAGTTAGGTAGAGCCAGGAGCGACGACGAGGGAGACACCCGTGGAGGCTGCCTAGGTCTACGCAAAGCGAGGACGAACGTGAGAGAGGAAGACGAAGCCGGCGACGCGTTAATACTGTAATATTAGACGATATAGATATTGGATCCGCTGCATATACGAATGCAGGGTAATTATTTGTAAACTAGTAGAAAGAAATTAAACTATAACCGTACAGTTAACCGAATCTAACTGTGTTCTGTTCCACTGGTACTACCTGTTATTTGCTACGGGCATCACCGTCCTGCCTAATATACCGGCAGGAGCGAACACTGAATCCAAACAACTAGGACACGCGTTAACTATATAACGCCTGTCGTACCGTAGTCGCTATACCCTTAGGGCCACTACACTAGCAGGACACCCGGCGTTGCCCGGGAAATAAAGCGCTCAGTTGGTGACCACTTGGTTGAAAGAAAAATACCTAAAAATCTATCTGTCTATCTATCTATCTATCTAATCATCTATCTATCTCTATCTATCTATCTATCTATCTATCTATCTATCTATCTATCTATCTATCTCTATCTATCTATCTATCTATCTATCTATCTATCTATCTATCTATCTATCTATCTATCTATCTATCTATCTATCTATCTATCTATCTATCTCTATCTATCTATCTATCTATCTATCTATCTATCTATCTATCTATCTATCTATCTATCTATCTATCTATCTATCTATTTATCTATCTATCACACTCTATAGTCTATAATGCTACGTATAGTCTTGCCCACTCTGTATCAAGTCGGTGCAAGGTGAATGTTGTTACGACAATAACATGGCGCATGTACCATAATGCATATGTATAACAGCATGATAGGCACACATATGTATAACAGAGTATCAGGACAAATACCTCCCGGACAATTACCCCCGGACAATTACCCACCGGACATTTACCCCCATGTCATTCTCCCCCCGGACTATTGAGGAGGAGAGGAGGAGAGAGGGGAGGAGGAGAGGAGGAGAGGAGGAGAGGAGGTAGAGGAGGAGGAAGAGGAGGAGGAAAAGTGGAGGAAGAGGTGGATGATGAGGAGGAGGAGACGAGGTAGAGGAGGAGACGAGGTGAAGGGGGAGGAGAGGAGGTGGAGGAGAAGGAAAGAAGGTGGAGGAGGAGGAGGGGAGAACGTGGGTAGAAGGTGGTAGAGAAAGAGGGGGAGGAGGGGAGAAGGTGGAGGAGGAGGAGGTAGAGAAGGGAGAAGGTGGTGGAGGAGAAGATGTGGAGGAAGAGGAGGAGAGGAGGTGGAGGAGGAAGAGGGGAAGGAGGATGAGAGGAGGAGAGGAGGAGGAGGAGGAGGAGGGGGAAAAGGTGGTGGAGGAGGAGGAAGGGGAGAAGGTGTAGGAGGAGGAGGAGAGGAGGTGGAGGAGGGAGGAGGTAGAGGAGGGCGCCTCTATCTCCTCCTCTCCTTCTCCTCCATCACATTCTCCCCTTCTCTTCTTCCTCCTCTCTTAACCACCACCTGCACATCCTCTACCTCCGATACCTCTTCCTCTCCCCTCCTATTCCTCCTCCTACACTACCTTCTCCGTCGTCCTTTAACTCTTCTTCTAAATGTCCGGGGGTTAAATGTCACGGGGGGTAATTGTTTGGGGTAATTGTCCGGGGGGTGATTGTCCGGG